AGGCATTCATGTTGTGGTAAAATATCAAAAGCTCTAGGTCTTCAAATTTTACACTACATTTTTGGGGGGGGGGGGGTTAGAAGAAGGGGAAAATGGAGGAGTAAAATTTGGATTCTATTGAAGTCCATGGGAATTTCCTCGTTACTTCAGTGAGGACAAGTTAACATTATATGTTCTAGCTCTTGGCTGTCACACATCTAATGTCATGTGTAAACAATTTTGTGTAGTTGTGTAGCTAATGTTTTTGTAAACTACATAAGCATCATGTGCGAAAGAGTAGCTGGTAATTTAAACCTCTGTACGAAACAAGGAATTTCTTTTCCAGTTTAAAATTACTAGAATTTTAAAGAAACGGGGGCACAGTGGGATAATATCTCTTATTTGGACCAAGCTATGTTGGTGGCAGACACAAGCCTTCAAACTACACAGAGCTCTTGAAATCTGGGCAGTTCTGTGTAGCTCAAAAGCTTGTCTGTCACCGACTAAGTTGGTTCAATAAACAACTTCACCCATCTGTCTCTCCAGCATCCTGGGACCAACATGGGTGCAACAGCACTGCAACCAGTAGAATTTTAAAGACATTAATGATTTTCAAATTTGCTTGTGTGATCCTTTGAAAAAAATCTCACCCTTAAGCATTAAATATGAGGTAAAGAGGCAGACGATGCCTTAATATATGAAGATAAGCATATTCAAACTGAAGTCAGACGTGGAGAACAGAAGAACAGTTCCCTTTAAAGGTGAGTTTGGTACTGTATTTTTAGAATGTATATATGTGAATTTGAAATGTCTTGTGCAAACTGCAAATGTCCTTATCTGTTTTCACTTCTGATTTTCCTTTCTTGATGAGTTATCCGGTGAGCTTCCTGTTGAAATTTATTTAAATGGTTCATATAAGGTTTACAAAGCAGTCTGTATTGATGGAGACTATGAAACTTACCAGGTATTTTTAAGTACTGCTATGTGTAATTCTTTTTTAAACATTATTTTTCTGTACTGATCTAAGGCAGTGAAGTGAAAAATTAAATGAAAACATAACACTCCTTCCCCCCTCCCCCTCCAAACACACATACTTTCCTTGTAAAAACTCAGGGCAGAATTTCAAATTAACGGTGCCTAAAATAAAACTTCCAAATCCATATTTAGGTCTCTAAACAAACATGGCCAGACTTCAAGATTTGCTGAGCATCTTTCGTTCCCATTCATATATAAACTGTTAATGTATGGTTATGGCTTCGTGACTGCAACTCCAGCAACCACCATACACTTTACTTATTGCTTCCCCTTCTCAACCTCAACTAACTCCCTTCCCTTGCCACATCTCCACTCTGTGGTGTTTTTCTTTGTGAGCATCTTTGTAAATGCAAATTTTATACCATAATATCAGCAGAATGGGTTAGTGCAGTGGTCACCAATGTTTTTACCTGATCCTCCCCCCTTTTCCTCTATCCACATCCTATTCCCAAGTACAGGGGGGCACACAGATAAGGCTGGTGTTGCAGCTTAGGGTGGGGCCAGAATCAGAGTCAAGACCAGGAGTGGATCTAGGTGGCACTCCCTCCCGGTCCCCTGTGTGGACTGGTCTGGGCCCCAACTGCACTCACCTCAATATTCCTTTGTGTCCCTTAGTGGGGCATGCTGTACACATGAGACCTCTAGCTCAGTGGTTACAATACCAGGTTGGAAGTTAGGAGGCTTTGGTTTATGATCAGCTTCCCATTTGCTGTGTGCCTTGTATAATCCATCTGTTTAAATCTCCCAGGCTTACAAGAGTATGTGAGGTTAAGCTTAATATTTATAAAGCATATTCAGTAGCTTGGATGGGTACGTGCATAAGTTAAATGGTAATAGTTTTTTCCCTAGACTCTTTCCAGTTATACAAGTCATTACAGCAATCTTGAACTTTCCTTTTCCTTTGTAAAAGTGAATTAAGTGCTGTGAAACCTGTTCAGACAGCCCAGAAATCTCTCTCAAATCTCTTTCTCATTCACTTCTAACTTATACTCAGATATTTTGATCAGGAAATCTGCAACTACACGGCACGAGTGTTGTGGACTTGCAGAATAACAGGGATAAGCTAAATGCATTGAAATGCCTTTTATCTATGGATTGAATCAGCTATTGCTATCATTTTCTAGAAGCCGTATATAAAATAGCAGTTTGGGGGAGGTGGATGTTGTACTATGGCATTGTTAATGTTGTTTCCTTTAATTGAATATTTCTTCATTGCCTCTACAGGAGAAACTTGAGTAATTTTACAGCCTTTACTGAGGAAGACTTGCTCAGAGTCTCATTCTGAACTCCAATTTTTGTGCATGGCACGTAAGGACCTGCCACCTTAAGGGTATGTTTACACTACCACCCTAGTTCGAACTAGGGTGGTTAATGTAGTCATTCGAACTTGCAAATGAAGCCCGGGATTTGAATTTCCGAGGCTTCATTTGCATGTTGCCGGGCGCCGCCATTTTTAAATGTCCGCTAGCGCGGACTCCGTGCCTGCGGCTACACACGGCACGAACTAGATAGTGGAACGAGGTGTACAGATAGTTCGGAATAGGCTTCCTATTCCGAACTATCTACTTTGTGCCGCATGTAGCCGCGGGCACGGAGTCCGCGCTAGCGGACATTTAAAAATGGCGGCGCCCGGCAACATGCAAATGAAGCCCGGGAAATTCAAATCCCGGACTTCATTTGCAAGTTCGTATGACTACATTAACCACCCTAGTTCGAACTAGGGTGGTAGTGTAGACATACCCTAAGTGACTAGTCCCTGATCATTTCATCATGGGCTCCAGCTACTATGACATTTCTGATGAATCAGGTTACAGGAGAGGTGGCCACTGACTGCTAAGCTTCAGTTCATTGCCAGTTTAAAGATTAGCATCAAAACCTTGAGAGGCCTGGAAGCACTCACTGTAAAGTGTGGCTCACTGGTGTGTGGTGTGCTCTTTGTCACTCTGCAATAGGCATGTATTATTGAGCTCTTAATTTTGGTTAACAGCTTTTACAATGATCCTGGGCAAGCAGTTGATCAGAATAATCAACATGCTTAGTATATTATGAATTAATACATCATAAGGAGAAAAGATTTTGAGAAACCATGTATATGTAAAGTAATTCATTGTTGGACACTGGGATATGGATTTGTAGCATAATTATTACAATTAGAATGGAATGCCCTGTGGAGCATTTGTAACATCTATGTATATATAAAGAGTTGGTTTGTCATAGGACAGTAAAATGTTACAAATATTTACTCAGTTTGAAAAGTGGCAACAGGTCTGTGGTATATTGTATGTTTAAATACTGTCATATTTGTCTCACTAAATGTTAGGTTTGTGATGCTTTGTGTTTTTTTCACATGAAGATAAGTTGCAGCTTTGGATACATGAGGCTATATACAAGGAACTCAGATTGAAATAGTGAACTTCTAAGAACTCTGAGAACTTTTACTGTTGATATTTATTACTGTAGTATGTATTTTCCCCAGAGAGAAGCATAAGTAGTTAGTGTGAAAACCATTATTTAAATAAGTGACAAATTGCTTTGCATTGATCGCAGTGTTACATAGTACTCAGTGTTATCAGTGATTGACTTCTTGCCCCTAAATCTACAGAAGAGCAGAGCAAGGAAACTCACAAGCACTGTAATATTAGAATGGCACAAACAGTGGTTTTCAATATCTGCTGGGGTAGCGTTTGTTTTCATTTTTCAGGTGCTTGG